AATTATTACCATATGTATCCCTATTCCTTCCTATAAATAGGGGTGTGCATTTTTTCCCAGAACCGGTGGAACCGAACTGGAACCAGTTAGAACCGGCTAGTTCGGCTCCGGATCTTCTAAACAATAATTTGGGTTTGGGACATATTATCGAGAACCGATCGGTTCGGTCCGGTTCCCGATTCTAGTATGGGAACCGACGGTTCCCATCAGATTTTTTTCCTTTTCCGTCGTCATTTTAAGCTTCAATTTCCATATTTTCTTTTATTCTTTCCTTCTATCTTCTTTGATTAATTGATTATTGCCTACTCAAGCCAAATTAAAAATTTAAAATATTGGGTAAATCTATACGTATTTATACTATATAATTTCATTTCTAAATTCTAAGACGTAAACTACAGGTTAAAAAATCTGCCACACAATCTATAGAAAAAAAATCACTTTTCTTGTTTCTCCAAAGTCGACTGGCCTTCATCAGTTGAAGATTATTGAAGATAATCCGGTACTTTTGTATTTTTTGCAAAATACCTCATTATTGGTTCATTTGCAATCTGTACCCGTTTTATTTATAAATTTTTGGAGATTTTCATTTAATAAGTTTTAAATTGCTTTTAAATTTAGTCCAGTTAAATTTATTACAATTTCATGTTATTTGTATATTGTTTGTATATAAATATCAAGATGGATGAAGATAAAAAAAAAATCCGAATATGAGATCTGAAGTGTGGTCACATTTTACAAAGATACAAGGGGAAAGGCCAAATGTAATTACTGTGGAAAGTCTATGCATGTGATTTCAGTAAGACTGGTACTTCTGGCTCGTGGAAACACTTTAAAAATTGCCAAGCTTGTAAAAGTATAAAAATGGATGAAAGACAAAAGGTACTAGCAAGACAGTTAAATGACAATGATGGTGGTGAGGGTGGCATTACCAATATTACTGTTGTGGTGTTTAACAAAGAAGCGTGTAGGAGGGCAATGATGAAAATGATTATTGTGGATGAATTGCCATTTAGCTTTGTTGATGGTGTCGGGTTTAGAAAATTCATGGGATTTGCTTGCCCTAAGTTTGATATTCCATCTTGTAGAACAATTGTGAGGGATATATTGAAACTTTACAGTGAGGAGAAGGAAATATTGAAAGGTAAACTTATTTCTAATAAGCAAAGGGTGTGCCTTACAACTGATTGTTGGACATCAATACAAAATATTAGTTACATGGTTATCACGACCTATTTTATTGACAAAAAATGGATGTTACATAAGAGGATATTGAATTTTTCGGTAGTTCCAAACCATAAAGGGGAAACAATTGGAAACTTATTGAAACGTGTTTGCTTGATTGGGCAATAGAGCATGTGTCCACAATTACTTTTGATAATGCAAGTGAAAATGATGGGCTATTGTCTATATAAAAAAAGTATTAAAGAATTGGAAGGTTGATGGAATAGTTTTAGGTGGTTCTTTTATGCACGTAAGGTGTTGTGCACATATAGTGAATTTAATAGTAAATGATGGGTTGAAAGAGTTTAATGCTGTGAAATATTTTCGATCATCCCCTTCGAGATTAGCAAAATTCAAGATTTGTGTAGAGAATGAGAAAATTGAATGCAAGAAATTGGCTATGTTAGATGTACCTACCAGATGGAATGCAACATACTTGATGTTGGATGGTGCGTAACAAGTTTGAGAAAGCATTTGAGCGTATGGCAGAGGGAGATAGTTTTTATTGCAATTATTTTGATGAACGTGAGAACGGGAAAGAAAGAGAAGGTCCAACGATTGGGAAAAATGCAGGAAGTTTGTGAAGTTTTTGAAAACCTTTTATGAAACCACTTTAAAATTTAGTGCATCTTTGAGTGTGACATCGAATTTATACTTTAAAGAAGTTTGTAATATTCAGCACTTGTTGAAAACATTGAGTGATAGGCAAGATCCTATATTAAGTGATATGGAAAAAAAACATGAAGAGAAAATTTGACAAGTATTGGGGCAGTGTTGAGAAAATGAACAAAATACTGATAATAGCTGTAGTTTTTGATCCTCGATACAAGTTGGAGTTTGTGGGTTATTGTATTGGCTGCTTGTATGATGATAGCTTGGTTGAATCGACAAAAGATGAAATCAAGAATTTACTATATGAGTTGTATAATCAATACAAGGGATGGCATAGTGCATCTGGTTATGGAGATGGTGGTATTTGTAACTTCGATGAAAGTTTGGTGGAGGTTTCTGCAGACGATGATTGGGATGAGTCCAAGAATTTTGATTTTGGGTACAAAAAATTGAAAAGTAGCCATACTGATTTACTTGGAAAAGACGAGATTCAGAGATACCTAATGGAACCCACTGAAGACTCTACTAATCCAAATTTTGATCTTTTGACTTGGTGGAAGTTAAATTGTCCAAGATATGAAATTTTGTCCGAGATTGCAAGGGATGTACTTGCAATTCCTGTTTCTATGGTTGCTTCGGAGTCAGCATTTAGTACTGGAAGACGCGTTCTTGATTCATTTAGAAGTTCTTTAACACTTAAAATAGTTGAGGCTTTAATTTGTACACAAAACTGGCTACGCTCTACACTTTTGGGAGACCGACTATATGGAGTGGGTATTGAAGTGACAGAGTTTCATAAAGAATTGACTCAATTGGAAATTGGTAATTAGAATGTAGTTTTTTTCTTCAAGCTTATTAGATTGTATATTTGTTTTTATTTATGCTTCTTTTAATTGAGATTTTGTAATTTTCAATGTAATGTAGAGCTTGTTAAGAAAGGTACTCACATGAAGGATGATTTAATGGTTGTGGAACTTGACTCATGATCTAAATGTAAGTATGGCCATAATCATATTTTATATGTAATGTTCCACATGTTTGTTCATATTTTAACTTTAACTTTTGTGACGTAGAATCAACACAAGGAGATGGACGGACTCTTTAAAAGGATTGATGCAGATAACTCGAGGAAGACGTTGATTGAAGAGTTCTTAAGTTCAATTTTGTTATGGTAGATTGTTAATTTTTTATTGCAATATGGAATTCTGACATTTAGTTGTTAACTTATTGTTTCAAATTTTGACCCATGTTACATTATTCACGAGGAAACTCGCAATTTGAAAGCATTTTTAGTGAAAATTTGTAACTTCAAGGTACTTAATGGAAATTTTTGTTTAATGGAAGTTTGTTTAATCGTTGGAGTACTATCTTGTTTATATAAGTTGATGATAGCTTGATGATAGTAACTTGTATTATTTGGATATTTTTTTAAATTTGTATACTTAGATTTCTTTTAGTTTTTGTATAGTATGTTCGGTTCTTCTATATTTTGTTAAAAGTATTGCATTGGTAGCATCTTTAGATTTTTTTTTTATTACTGAACATTTGTTTTGACATTTTCAATGTAAAGAACCAAACTGGACTGAATAGGAACCGGTTGGTTCGGTTCCTGTTGGAACCGGACCGAACCGGACTGTGCCCACCCCTACCTATAAATATAATGTTTTAGTTATCATTATAATACACACAAATCTATTGACTTCTCTTATTTATTTTTCTTATTCTCTCTTTTTATAACATTATTAATATTCTAATACACACTATAAAAGTTTAATATACAAGACTGTTATGCTGTTGGAACCCTCCATGACAACATACTCACGATAGAGGAGAATTTTTTTATTCACTTGGGTCCCATACGGATCCCACGTCCATATGAGTGTATATCAACTAAGATGACAAATGTTTTCTTGCAACGATCTTAATTCTTCGATATATATTAACAAAAATCAACCTCATAATATGGGGAGTGGGGAAAGGGATCCAGCACAGTTGGGTTTTAAACACCACTCTTTTCACAGGCTTTAAAAGTTTCAAGTTTTTTTAAACCAAAAATAATAATAATAATAATAATAATAATAACACCACTCTTTTCACAGGCTTTAAAAGTTTCAAGTTTTTTTAAACCAAAAAAAAAAAAAAAATTGATCTTTTGAATAAAATTCTAATTTAATTCTAGGAAAAAATGATTTTATAGAAGGGATTACAGTCTATCACTTGCCAATTTAAAATACAATCAATTTTTTATCTAATCTTTTCCCTTCACATCATTTTATATAATTCCTCATATACCATTTTTATGTACAAGTAGCATAATCCTTTTTAATAAAGGGCTAGTCACACACGACTATTACTAGCGAGCTCAATTATCACTACAATAAAAACAGTCTTTTGCAACGTTCAAAAAACGTTGTCGAAAATCTTTTGTAACGTTTTTGAGTGTGTTGCAAACTTTGATGTTGTCGTAGAGTAGATGGATACGTCAACTTTTTTTTAGTGTTGTCATAATCTTTTTGCAACTTTTTTGAACGTTGCGAATAACATTTTTGCAACGGTTTTTGAGTGTTCTCATAACCTTTTTGCAACAATTTTTTAGCGTTAATAGCTTTTTCGCAACATTTTTTTTTTATAACCATGGATGTCCGGACCAGTTTGCGCGTATCTTGACTAATCTCACAGGCCCTGAAGTTTACGGCCGAGTACTCACCTCAACGGCTCTGAGAAGACTTGAACTGGTGACCATTGGGGAACAAATCTGCAACATTTTTTGAACGTTGCTAATAATCTTTTGCAACTTTTTTACCTGTTGTTCATGCTTATACCTTTATTTTTTGCGACATTTTTTAACCGTTTCCATATGCCATTTTACAATTTTTTTATTTTTCTTATTTGTACAGTAATTTGCACAAATCAACCACAAAATAAGATAGAAGATGACAATATCAAACAACTCCAATAATCATTATTAATTGTACTCCAAAATGTAACGATATTCATACAAAATTTAGATCCAAAATTCTGAAGCGTCTAAAAGTTCAGTACATTTCCAAAAAAAAAAAAAAAGACGAGTTTGTAGATAACAGGAGACAAGTTTGGAAATGATATCCACGGACCGAAGAATGTCTTGTTCATCAAACAACACATCTTCAACTGAGACTTTGCTCACTTTAACATAATCTGATGACAGCAGCTTGTAGATTGCTTTTGTTGCATGTGTCATAAAAACTCGCCCTTTGAATGTGATCTGTTGAGCAAAAGAAGTGAAAATTTCAGTAAAGAAAATTGCAAATTATGACCGAAAGGAAATTCTTAATGAAGCAAACCAACCTTCTCCAGAAAATAGGGATGGGAAGCAGCATGGTCCAAGTGAAAGCTGCACTCAGAAAGCAACTTATCATTTTACAAATCACGAGACATGAATTGAGATACTAAAAACTTTACTGTAGAAAGTAAACCTTACCAGATGAAGAACTGGGGCCTCTATCAGATGAATGCCAACTACTCTCTGCCAAAAGTTTCATTCCACAGATGACCAAGAGGAATATAGTAGAACGTGATATATCAACAAAATGATACACTAATCAGAGTACATGTAATGGATGGCGATTATCACATCCATTTGCCAAAAGTATTGAGAAGCACTGGTATAACTGTAGAACAAAAAACACAACCAAGACTCGCACTTTACAAACTGCTACTTCATGTTTTTTCTCACGCTGATGATGAATGGATAGAATAATAAAATAACAGTTGCCCATATCAGGTGTTCCAAAACTAGAAAAGGGAATTATTAAGTATGAACAACTTCTCATCTTTGATAAAAAAATCCCTTTGATTCGCGATGCTTTTCTCCAAGTTATTGTCTGTTTCATGTATAAACATCACCTTTTAGAGCAGTTGCTCATCCTAGTAAAGATGCTAATGAAAATGCTATTTCCTAGGGAGCACGAATCTTGAAGAAGATATGACTTTGGATAAAGCGGTTCTTTCATTAACTATAAAGGTTCAAGATTACCCGGAGGTGAATAATGTAAACTTGCGCTTGTTTTGAACATGTTCAACTGCTCATGGATATTGTTTACACCAGAATCACATGCTAAAAGAGGATTCTGCATTAGTATGAACAAGAAAGGGAAAGTGGTGTGAGATGATATTTTAATTCATAAATAAAACAAGGATAAGGGCTTTGTTAAGTTCAGCTGAGTACACTATAATTGTGAAAGGAACCAAAAGAAAAAAGATCTCATACTCTCTGGGATGATCTCGGGGCTTACTGCTTAGCTGCTGCAACTACCTTACCACTGGGATTTATCCCTCTTTTTTCTATTTCATCACCAAGCTTTAGGATGGGGATTCCATCAATATATTCCATCGCTGGAACCCTCCTATCAATAGGTTGAACAAGTCACAACAGATGTGAATAAAATTAACAGCATCAACAATTAAGCAGCACAGAATTTGACAAGTAAAAAGAAATATCACTATATCTTTTCCATTACATAAAATTTTTAACATAGATATACATTATAAGGACGTCTGTACCTGCACAATCCCAAGTATCTAATTTTAATGAGTTTTAAAGAAATAAGAGAGCTCCAACAAATTTAAAGCAACAATCTGATGTTAAATAGTTGAGCCATTTCTCACACTCTGGAAGACATTGTCTTCATATGATTTAATTTATGTTTAACCAAAGGAATTACTCTACAACCATACCTAGTGACCATATCTCGCATCACTCGTGGCACCAAAACTGGGGGCTTTTTTGTTATTTTCATACAGAAAATAGCGAATTCTTTCCACAGAATCAGCCTCCCACTATTACCACATTACAGTCAAGCTAATCAAAAACCCAAAATGCAAAGCCAAATTCCTCTTAAGCTTACCAAAATAACTCTCCGGCGGTTCCTGATAATGAATCTCAAAATCCTCTCCCATTTCATCTACATAATTGGGATTTCCACCGCTACTAATTCTCATCTTCAGTTGTCTCAGACTTCCGGTGGCCAGCCCAAGAGTCAATTTTTGGCACCGTCTCTGGTACTTGAATCCATTGATGCACCTTAGGGTTTAAGCCACCTCAGGAAAACCAGGCCCTAAAAGAGGAAGAAGATCTGGAAGAGCTTCTATAGCTCCTTTTTTTTTGGAGGTCTACTGCTCGTTTTTTTTTCGAGGGTTTTCTCGTAGACTCGTAGTGGAGCTGGATTATGGTGTTTAAGGCTTGGAGGGCTGTTTCTTTGGGGATTACAATGTGGTGATGCTGGTGGTGGTAGCCTCGTAATCCGCCATTGAAGTGTGAGGATATAGGAGCCCGAAGTGGAGGTGTGAGAGGAATGAATGGAGGGAGGCGTCAATTAGTTCAAGGTTTGGGTTATTTTTGGTTGCGGTATATAATTTAATTTGGGAAAAAGACGCCAAATTTTTCGCAACGTTCAAAAAACGTTATTAAAAGTGAAATTTTCACAACGTTCAAAAAACATTTTTATAGAATCAAATTTCAACAACATTCAAAAAAATGTTGCAAAAACTTATACTTTTCGCAACATTTATAAAACGCTGCAAAAGGAGATATTAGCAGCATTTATTTAAAAAATGTTACGAAAGCTCAATTATGTTTGTCAATAGCTATATTCACTTGCTAAAATGTTGTAATAAACCCCTTTAGCAACATTTAATCAACGAATATTGCCTTTTAAGTGTTGCAAAAGACCATTTTTTGGGTAGTGTATAGAGGCTGGTCAAGACATACACACACACCTTCGAATGATTAGTAGTAATTGTTTATGTAAACATTCAACTCTCACGAGTTTGTAGAAAGAAATTGTTATAACGTATGCTAGATAAATTCCAATTATGTGTTTAAATGTGAATACATGTTCGTCTGTATTTAATTTAGGAGCAATGCTATTCATCCCCACTGAGGTTGTATCCTCAGTTTAGGTGGCGTTAATGTGACACTAAATGATAGATGAAATAAAATAAGTCATTTAATTTCACCTATCATTTAGCCAATCATTTAACGTCATTTAGACTAGGAATGCAACCCCAATGGGGCTACATAACATTATTGTAATTTAGACATTCAAATACTTCAATAGACCTTTTTTCTTAAATGCTATTAAAACACAATAAAAATAAATTTATATGAAAGACAACTTATGAAAAGATTAACAATTTATAATCTTCATATCGAAATATACAATAAAAGTTAATAATTTAAACAATACTTTTGTCCTCAAATGTAAAAACAGCATCTAACTTAAGTATTCCGAGATAAATTCGCAGAAATTACAGTGAGGAAAAGATAGAACACGATACAAATGAACGACATCATAACAGAAAACGTAATTCTTTTACAATATTTGGCAAAATGATCACAAATTGCTATCCAACCATTGTGGCTTTTGCCATATTTCCCCACGTACCCTATCGCTGTTGCTGCTGCACATCCTGCCATCAACAATGTTGTCAAGATCTGTGGATGGAACAATTTCAATTCCTCGTTAGTACATTTTGTAGTAAACTCCTTAAATAATACCTTGTCATGCTGTAAATTATACCTACCAAATCATGCAGAAATATGAAGAAGTAATTTCCTGGATTCAGTGCCTTGTAACCAAGGATGAAAACAATAAAAGAGAGAAGAGAGAATGCACAAGCAATAATATTTGCAAATGCAAAGAACCTGCATCCAACAACAGAAAAATAACCTTAATTTCCATAGGCGTAATATATATAGTCAGGCTCCTTTTACAATGAGGTTGTTGAAGATAACAATCAGAGCCGAGAATGAATAATAGATCTTACTTAAAAGCCGATGAATAGCTGTAGCGCGCATCAACCACGATTCCAAAAACCTCAACAGTTTGCTTGCTAGTGAGGACAAGCCATTTTCTTCTTCTCTCTCATTTATCCATCCCTCCATAAATTAACATTCGTCGAGTCCTCTCACTGCGTTATGTACATAATTTTATCTCCTTTTCATTTTTATATAAATCATATATTTTTATTAATTGTATTTATAGATTATTCTCTTTCAGATACCAATAAATTACGCATGCATTCTTAACAAACTTTTAAGTTATAAAATTACTTCTACCTAAAATGAATAAGAAATAGATTTTTTTTAGCAATAAAACATCATTTAATGTAAAAATTATTTAAATTGATTGCTTTTAATTTTATTCATTGAACAAATTTTTTTAACTAGAATATTGAAATTAAGAATTTTTATTTCTTTGTAATATATAGGGCATGATTTGTTATTTCTGATAAGAGTATTTTGTCCATTTAGCTATTTATAATGTTATATTTGTATATTTTCAACAAAGAGTATTCTTTTTGTAGAATATAATTACAACCTAGGCTATATACATGAAGATAGTAGAAATATTAGTAAGAAGAGGGAAAACCAACA